ATTAAACTGACGTTATATTAACCCCCGCTACACAGTGTATTTTGCTTTAATAAAAAATGTTGATCACAAAAAAAAGGGTTATTTTGCGATTTGGCAAATCTGAGTCTGCTGTTGACTCGTGCATGAGGACGAGTCTGCTGGATCTCTGGATCTGCTGCTATATGGTTACGGCTCCGAGTCCGCACGAGTCTGATCCGCTGTGTGTTGCAGCGAGTCAGGATTTGCGAATCTGCGAGTCTGCGAATCTGCGAGTCTGCGAGTCTGCGAGCGAGTCTGCGAGCGAGTCTGCGAGTCTGCGAGCGAGTCTGCGAGCGAGTCTGCTCGTGCATAGCGCGGGAGCCGGGTGCTGGAGGAGGGGCTATGCTCGTGCACATGACGAGATCGCTGGATCTGCTATGCTATTACGGTTAGGAGCCGTCGGCTCCTCTGAGTCCCCACGAGTCTGCAGGAAGTTTCACTGATCCGCGTCCCCTCCCCTGAGCCAAACGATAACTTCTGGCAGGCAGCTATCCTGTATACTTACTAAAGGGTAGGTAGATGGACTGGGGTACGTTGTAATGTGATTTTACATGTTATAAAGAGAGTAGCGAGTGACGCAATTTATAGTTTTAATTTGTACGTCACACCAAGTGTGGGACTCAAGGACTCGGGTTAATGGAGAGGGGAGACTCGTCACGACCAGCTCATTTCTAGGATCCGGGTTAATGATCCGGATGAATCAGGACTCGCCCATCTCTAGAAGCTACAGGGACTCTGCCTGCTCAGTTCATCCAGGGAACACAACTTGATCCCGGCCGTGGTTGTTTGTTCTTCATGCTTATATATCGGACTATTGTGACTCGCTCTGCGGTTAAAACAGACGGTGCATGAATGCCGTTTTGCGGTAAGTGAAATTCGAGTACTTTATTTATGTGTTTATGATTTTAATCAGCTATGTAATGAATGTTAAGGCTTGGGTTTGCGTGTAAGCGAGTGAAGAATAGGGGAGGGATGAAACCCTCTTTAATGGTCACACATGCAGAGCACACAGCACACACAGTGAAATTTGGCCTCTGCTTTTAACCCATCCTAGTACAAGGAGTCTAGTACTAGGAGCAGTGGGCAGCTATTGTACAGCGCCCGGGGAGCAATGGGAGTGGGGGGGAAGGGGGGTGTCCGGTGCCTTGCTCAAGGGCACCACGGCAGGGCAGGAGGTGAACTGGGACCTCTCCAAGTAGAAGTCCACACTCCATATTTAGGTCTGGTCGGGGACTTGAACCAGCGACCCTACGGCTCCCAGTCCAAGCCCCTACTGACTGAGCCACTGCCGGACCAGTGGTAGCTACATCGGTGCTAACGATGCTAATCGTATCCTCCAAGTTAACTTAAAACCATAGACTGTATATATAAAGGTTAAAATGAAATAGACAAGTGTTAAGCGTTAAGTGAGATAGTACTGTAGAACAAAAGGCTTCTGTTTGAGGTTGATAAAATAAGGTCATCCTTGTAACTTAGAGAGATATTTTATTATGTAGGTAGGAACTGTATGCATCGCTAAGGTTAATTTAAATTGGCTATGCTCAAGTATGTAGACAAGCTAACGTCGAAGTAGTGTATGTGAAATCAACCTCACAATAAGATGTGTGTATATTACAATTATTAATGTCATATTTCAAGATGATTACTTAGATATTACAATATGGTTGGTTGAGCTGGAGTTCATTATTGAGCTTACACGTTAACGTCACAGTCATCTGAAGAACGAACCCAAACGTTGTTGTTTTTATTAATTGCATTACCAAATTGGTATCAAATAAACAGTAACACAACAGCATTGGTAACACAACTTCCAAAGTTACATTAAAATAAAAAGGACCCTGACTCGGAAAATACACAATCCAACATGTTCAACAGAAGAGAATAAGTTATATTGTTTGTACACATGGTTCTTTACATATATATCTGTTTGTTTAAAGTTTCCAGGTGATGCAGACAGGCTGGACCAGAGAGTGAGAGACAGAACTGGACTCCTCACAGCAGTGAACTTCAGCACAGGTACAAATACTCTTTTTTCATACTGTACAAAGAATCAAGAAAGATATTGGTTTAAATAAATGAAGTATTGACTTTAATACACTGATATACATTCCATTAAACAATACTAAATACTAGATCACCTACACATCAGTGAAGTTGAGGGTTTTTTCCATGCAAAGGGTTACATGTTAACAAGCAATATTACTTTGTCAGCTTTCTAATTTAAGGTATTGAAGGCAAAGCTATTAGTGACAACTGCTATTTATCTCTCAATATTGTCTGTAAAAAACGTGGTAAAAGTTATGATTTCAGTGAGACAACAGAGCAAGCTTCTACAGTTGCACTAAGTTTTGATAACAGTTAAATATTATTTTGATAATAAAATATATTTCAATGTTGATGAATGTCATACTGTTCATTCATAATCTGATTGTCTTTGTAGCTCACTGTTGAAATAAAATAAAACATTACAATTACAAAATAATTATATCTACAGCCCCTAAACACAAACACACCTCTTTCATAAATAACACACTTGTTCTGCAATAATATGTTTTATGTTTCCTGTAATTTTTGTTAGGAAAGGACATGCCTGAAAGACACGACTCAACATTTTCTCCTTCTTTGAGGGTCAAGAAGAACATCCAAGAGGAAAATTAAAAGCTGATGTTATGAGATGTTAAGACCAGTACAGGACATTCACTAAGAAACTACTTTTATTGTGAAGTCAGCTGATCGAATGCACCTATTTCCACATCTACACTCCATCAGCTGATTAATTCTATTTGCCTCACTTTATGAGCTTCACAACCTGTACCTTGTACCGCAGAGTTTGCAACGTCACAAATAAATGGGGCCAATCTTCAGTCAGATGTGAATGTGTAATCTAACATTTTCAGTAAGAATAATGGACAAAAGGAGTGCAAATACAAATTCAATTTATTGAAATCTGAACCAAAAGTTAATCAAACATGTTTTAAATAAAAAAGCACATATGGACAGAAGGTGTAAACCTATTAAATGTATAAGTAAACACATTTAGTCAAATAAAGTGACAGACAAGGCCTGTGCAGTTGGTATCAGCTATGCCCAGCATGGGCTCCTCCATCAGGCCTGGTCCTTCTCGCAGAGGAAAGAGCCTCAGTCCTCTCCAAACCAACAGACTGGACGTCCATCACACGGAGGTTTCTCCCTGAAGTCTCTGCAGCTCTCTGGACACCACGCTGTCTCAATCCATCCACACTGAATATGAGAGGTGAAAATGAAAATAATAAATGCTTTAGACAATAAGAAATATAAAAGTTGACTGTTGAGTTGCTCAGTTTTTTTAGATTGTCAATACTATTACTGTATAACTAATATCTCAGGTTAAGAGGCACCTTCAAATAAAGATTGGTCTTTAAATACATTTTGTCTTTTGAATTGTTTGTCTAAAGTCAAGGATCTAGAACTGGTACTTATAGTTTTAATGATACAGTCTGGTTATAATGCTGTTTGGAGGAGGCCTCACAGGTAAGAGCACTAACTAGCTACCATCACATGCACCTTAGCTTAACTTAAATGTATTAAACGTATAATTAAGTGATAGCAAAATATAAATAACTAATGTCATGCAAACATATTAATATTTGCTTGATTCCAGTGTTGCATTTAGCACATTGCATACAAACGTTAAGGGATTTTAAGATTCTGAAGTATTATGCTAAAAACTCAATAACTTAGATTATTATTTATAGTTTTGCTGAATAGTTTCATGTCCGCTTACCTTAGAAACGTCAAATGTGACGGCAGTGTGCAGATGGGGAAGCATGTTAGCTTAGCTTCTTAGCTTGAGCTAGCTCTGTTACTTCCCAGCTGGAGGCAGAAGGTCCCGCCTCGGCTCCGCCTCTTTGCCCTTATTTGGAGCAGGCTGGAGCAGGCGGGAGTTAGACTCAGACGTCACTGTCGAGCCGTTAGTGGCCGACTCCGCCTACTAAGGGCTTCTCGGCAACTCTGCAGAATCCTATGGGTGACGTCACGGACCCTACGTCCATTTATATATACAGTCTATGGGTGGAGCTGAGGAGGCCAATCAGCATGACTGGGGACACCTGGCCGGAGCCGAGGTGCTAATTAAGCCCAGCTGCCCGGAGTCACATGGCCTTCGTGACTCTCTCCAAGACCGCTGCGGAGACACTCGCCGGGATCCTTTCCCCTCGCCCATCCTCTCATGTTTTTGATGTTGTTTTGGAATTGCCACATTAAATGTGCCGTGGTTTTTGGAACCCTCAAACATCTCTCTCTCTTTTCCTGTTGTGGCCTACAAGCCGGTCATAACACTTACTTTATTTTTATTGTTTTAATAAAACATATTTTTTAAATATTTTAATTAATATAATTTTATTATTACAAATCTTTATGTTATTTTTCAAGTTTATCATTTTATTTGATCTATTTATTTTTTCTTGATCTTAATTTTCTTTTGTTATTTTGTTATTTTAATTATTTCATTATAATTGTTATTATAATAATAATAGTGTGTTTAATCATAAAAATATCACAAACAAACAAAAAAAAGTTTTTTTGTTTATCTTTCATTTTTATCTCATTTAATTATCTTTTTTTTTATTATATTATTATTTTACTTTACATTTTTTGTCCAATTCTTTTTAAGTCCCTCAGTATACAAAGTAATTCAAACTAGCTGCACCTTTACCAGCTTTGATAACACTTTAATGATCAATCATTAAAATCAAAACATATATAATTATTATTATATATATATATATATATATTATTATAAGTATTATTACAAACAAAAACATTTCCCACAACTTTTAAAACCCGTCTGACCCGTCTCATCTTTATATATAATTATTATTAACATTGTAATTATTATTTATTTTAATACCGTTAGTTTTTCTATCTTTTCACCAGAGGGGGCAGTGAACTGATGTTTAAAGAAAAAAATCCCATGGTGCATTGCGGTTGTCCGTTTCTAGCTTCCGGTCCTCAGAAGCTGCACGTTGCTAACAGACGTTGATGCAGATTTTATACCGAATGTAATGTGTTTAAGAGACTTTTAAAACACATACAAAGAGTTAGTTTATCCTTGGAGGGTGATTTATCCGTGCTTTTATCCGTTACACCGTGTTTTTGTTGCCTCCCGTTCTTTGTTCGTAGCTTTTTATACCACGTGGCTGATCGGTAAACATAAGTAAAGGGAGATTAGTGTGTTTAACGGCAGTGTTTTATCAAGGAGAAGAAAGACTGAAGAACCAGGACGAGGAGGAGAGAGAGGTAACATCCTTGTGTGTGTAACAGTAGAAGTACTGCAGGGTAGCTTGTGAATTTACTCCAGGTGGAACTAAAGTCTGATTTAACACTTGATTATATTTCACATCATTCACCCAGATCTGTAAAGTAACTAAAGGTATTAAATACATGTAGTGGAGTAAAAATACACCATTTACCTCTGAACTGTTCTAAAAGTACAGAGTAGCATTAAATGAAAATACTCAAGTAAAGTAAAAGTACCTCTAAATGGTACAGTACTTGAGTAAATGTACTTAGTTACTTCTCACCTCTGCTATTAACCTAAGACGTAGCTGTAGCTTTGTTTTGTTGTGTCTGTCGGTTGTATTGAGTTATCTTGTTTTGTGTCAGCTGTAGTTGTGTTGATTATTTCAGAGACACAGCCGGAGAAGGAGCACTGAGAGCAGCATGGAGGAGGACAAAGAGACCCCTGGAGCTCAGGTCAGTGTGCTTTTCTTCACAATATATTCCTAACACTGTTATCCCCAAATGAAAGATCACAACCTGTTTAGAAAATACAATATGAATGCACAACAGTGGCGGCTGGTGGAAAATATTTTAGGTGGGGCTGTGGAAATGGTGATCAAACAATACTAGGGGTCCGGGGGGAAGCTCCCCGGTACAATTTTTTGCGAAAAGACCCCCTAAATTATGACTTCTGGTGATGTTATGGCGCGTTTCCACTACAGCGCGGAGCACGGTTTAAGAGGGCTGTGACGTCAGCGGCCCGTCTTTGGTTGCGTTTCCACTTGGCCTAGTACTGGCCGGCGGGTCCTAATTCACAGTTTTTCTGGCCTCATAAAATCGTGGGTCTAGGGCCAGAGACAACGAGGCTGAGTCGGGCTGAGTATGCTAAACTAGAGAGAGCATCGCTGGCAAGGGGGCTACAACTACAACAAGATGGACATATTTGACCGTGATTTAATTGTAATACACGTTTCAAAATGATGCCGAAGTAACAACATACTGATACCGGTTAGTAAAAACCATGAATTAATGCTTTGTCAAGTCTGCAGACAGACGGCAGGCGAAAAACCTTTTAAAATGCGTGTTTTCTAAATGGAGATTGGCTAAGCTAACGCAGTATATGCTCCGACCGTCCACACTCACAACAACGGCCTATACAGACATAAATAAACCAGTGACTGTAGTCGCCATGACACAGACAGTCTGTGGTTTGTACTTGTTTAACTTTTGTCTAGTTTCTGAACATATATGAGGAGCTGTGAGCTCTGAGGGCTAACAGCTAACGGCTGTGTTGTTTTTCTGGGGTTCTCATTGAAGATGACGTCACGGCTCCGCCTACACTGCGTTACTATAGATACTACCCCAGTTCCTAAACTGTAATGGCAATGCGCCATAAAGTGAGCCAGTCCTAACGAGGCCTAGCCATACCGAGCGAGGCCGTGTAGTGGAAATGCGCCATTAGAGGGGGAGGGGGAGGAAAGACAAAGACACTTTGAGGCTTAAAAATATGAGAAGACTGATCAATACCTCCATAACTTCAGTGTGGTTAGCTATGAATCTTCCAAAACTTCCAAACACCTTGTCCTGGACATAGTTTCTACAGCATAAACTGTGCAACAGTACAGTAGGCCCACACAAACTGCAGAACACCGGGGCTTTGGGAACACTCAAAATTACTTAAAATGATTTAATTCCCATTTAACCTGTTAAGGGGCTTCTTTCCCCCGTTTTCTTTCTCACGAAACTGTGTCTCAGGACTTCATAAAATGTAATAAACTATTCATGTGTCCTACTCAGAGGAAACGCAGCTAACTGATGATATGAACCATGTTTACCGAAACAAAACACAAGTCTCACAAGAAGCGTCTAAATGAGCCCTGAGCGAAAAAATGCTAACGCACTCTAGGTATAAATCAATCGATATACTTATCGGATATGCACAAACAAGCTTGTGCTAACAAGCTGAGATTCCACAGATTCTAGAAATATAAGTATCATCACTGAGCGATCAGAACTCGCGACAGGGGAAGCAAATACAGACATCACACGACGTAGCTTTAGGTAGCAAAACATGGAGATATGCTCACCTTTTGCAGAATAACAATTCTGATCAAAAACGAGAAAAACGCAGCTGAAGGTTAATCCAATGTGTCTGTCACTTTGAAAAATGATCGATGATCCATAACTCAATTTTTATGTCAAAAACTGAGTTTTCATTAGCTGCTAATGGTAGCTTCCAGAGTGTATGACAGCTTCCTGTTTTGTCTCCTTGAATACAAGTCCAAACAACTCACAGACTGCACCGGGCGCTGACGTAGGAGCCCTGTGACCATCAGATTTGAAGACGCTGATTGGCTGAAATTATGTTTCGGCGGCATAGTTTAAAGATAGCAACAGTTGGCTTCTGCTGCACTTGCTGCACTCAGAGAGGGAGTAATGAGGGCAAGGCCAGGCAGGAAACATGTGACTTATCAGTAACTTTAGACATCGTAACACAATTTTAAATGAGATTTTATTGTAGATTATACATTTTACTGATACCAATTATATAATATTTACCTTGTTTATTAAAAATAAAAATAACAAATATTTTTTTTAAATATTTTTTATGTGGGAAGAGGGGGGGCGGCGCCCCTATGGGCCGGCCGCCACTGATGCACAATATGGTTAGATATAGGTTAGAACGTTGTTGTATACGATACGATAATATGGAGGCGTGTGGCGCAGTGGGTTAGTGCACTGATCTTCGAATCAGAGGATAACAAGTTTGAGTCCCACTGCAGTCAGCATGTCGTTGTGTCCCTGAGACACTTCACCCCAAAATTGCTCCTGTGGGGATTGTCCACAGTGTTGAGTATGTAAGTCGCTTTGGATAAAAGCATCTAACAAGTAACATGTAATGTAAAACTTTAATGGTCAGATCAAGTCTGAAATGTGACTTGCATCACAGCAGCTCCATGTGTAACATCAACATAAACAAATATCAAGACACAATACATAAACAACAAGCATGTAACATAACAGCAGGATCCGTGAGAGACAACCTGCTCAAAGAGCCTTCAGCGTGCTTTTGATCTGGATTCAGCTCTGTATTTACTGAGAGGACTGACTGGAGCACAAAGGATGCTTCAGTCTGACTTTATTGAATCTCCATTAGATAGCAGTTCATATTCTCTGTTCAGAGCATGCTTTGGGTCCCAGGTGATGTTGTTGGACAGCCTCTCAGGTTATTATGGTCTGCTGAGTCAGAAAGTCTCTGATACTTGGAAATCTACCGAGCCCGGCGTACTTCGTTTGGAGAAATTTCGAGGCTGCACATGTGTAGACTCCACGGTCTTAAAATCCCCACAATGCTTTGCGCACGGACCAATTTCCCCAAATCTGTGGCGGAAAATGTAAGGCGAGGCCTCTCACGTGATGCACACCTGCACACGTGCTCGCCTGTTCCACTCTTTGTTTTCCGAATGCCAGGAAGTATTCTTGCCTCGCTTCTGAAGCAAGACGCTCGGAAGTCATGTGCTACCAAGCAAGCGTACTCGAGATTGAGAAACGCCCAGAGTAGCATTAAATGGAAATACTCAAGTAAAGTAAAAGTACCTCTAAATGGTACTTAAGTACAGTTCTTGAGTAAATGTACTTCTCTCCTCTGTTACGAACCTACGAAGTAGATTTGTTTTGTTGTGTCTGTCGGTTGTATTGGGTTGTCCGGTTTTGTGTCAGCTGTAGTTGTGTTGATTTATTTCAGAGACACAGCTGGAGAAGGAGCTCTGAGAGAAACACGGAGGAGAACAAAAAGACCCCTGGAGCTCAGGTCAGTGTGCACTTCATCACAATATATTCCTAACACTGTTATCCCCAAATTAATTAATACAGTGTTAATGCACAGTAACCATTGAATTCAGAACTCCTAGCTAACTCCAAAGTCAAAACTACTGTTAGTGCCTTTGCTAATATAATAAACAACACTCTACAGAAACATTATTAACCCAAATGTGACATATACTGTATGTATGTCTACATTACAGGGGTGGGGGAAATAATCGATACAGCATCGTATCGTGATAATAGCCTTGTTATTCTGTTACACTTTCTCACACGCACATAAATACAGCAGTTACACTTTCTCACACACACATAAATACAGCCGTTACACTTTCTCACACACACATAAATACAGCAGTTACACTTTCTCTCACACACATAAATACAGCCGTTACACTTTCTCACACACACATAAATACAGCACATTGTCTCAACCCGACCTATTTTCTGCAAACTTGCAAACTGTTTGAAATAGCTGAATCAATAAATTGGCATAGTTTAAATAAGTTAAAAATAAGTCAAGTTAGTCGTCAGTTTGTTTAGCATTTGGCCGTGTAATATACCGGATAATGTGCAGCGAGCTGGTCATTATTGGAAAAAGAAACCCCGACAGTATGATCAGAGGGACGGACGCGAGGCGGAGGGATCTTGATCGGGTGGTTTACGTTTGAGATGTTCCTGCATCACTGTGGTCGGAGGCCTCGTTCATTGTTATGAGAGCCGCTCATTGGCGCATGAAGTCAAAATGGCCTGACATTCTCAAGAGCAAAACGTCACAAATTACCCATCATGCCTTGCTGTCGAGAGCATAGAGCATGCCAGTTGAGTTTTCCATTAAGCCCCGCCTCCAATCTCCCTCACTCAGCCTTCCATCTGTGCACAAACTTATCTCGTGCCCTCATTGGTCATGTGCGCGTTCGTGTGTGTTGGAGGAGGGGCTCTATAAGGAAGTGGCAGATTTTCTCCGGTTGTGTATTTTCAAATTCTAGCGATCTCGAGCCTGTTTCTCAAACTTACCTACCCTACCTTTAACTCAAGGTTTATATTAAGCAAGTTTTTATCGTGTTAACTGTATATGTATTTATGCTTTTTAGATTTACTTTCTCTCATTCTCTGTCCGTCTGTTTTAGAAACCGAAAGGAAGAGAGAGACGTCACAGCTGTCAGCAATGTGACAAATCCTTTACATCATCTAGAGATTTAAAGAGCCACCTGCGTATTCACACTGAAGAAAAACCGTACAGCTGTAAAGAGTGTGGACAAACGTTCACTCAATCACATCATCTCAAAACACATCATCGTATTCACACTGGAGAAAAACCATACTCGTGTGTAGAGTGTGGGAAAACATTCACTACATCAAGTGATCTCAAATCACATCAACGTGTTCATACTGGAGAAAAACCGTACTCGTGTGAAGAGTGTGGGAAAACATTCACGACATCAGGTAATCTCAAAAAACATCAACGTGTTCATACTGGAGAAAAACCGTACTGGTGTGAAGAGTGTGGGAAAACGTTCAATAGATCAGATGCTCTCAAATCACATCAACGTATTCACACTGGAGAGAAACCATACAGCTGTGAAGAGTGTGGGAAAATGTTCACTACATCAGGTAATCTCAAAAAACATCAACGTGTTCACACTGGAGAAAAACCATACAGCTGTGAAGAGTGTGGGAAAATGTTCACTACATCAGGTAATCTCAAAAAACATCAACGTGTTCACACTGGAGAGAAACCATAGTGGTCTTAAGAGTGTGGGAAAACGTTTTCTCAAAGTATTCACCTTAATGTCCACGAGCGAATCCATTCTGCATAATTTTGAACAACTATGAGATCCATGCTAGCTGTTTCCTCCTCCCGATGTCCTGAGAGCTGTAGTTATATTTTAAGAGTCTTTCTGAATTGAAGTCTGACTAACAGACTTCAATTCACAGTCAGTCTTGTTTGATGTCCCAGGACAAGCCCTGAGGTCCTCCTCAGCTTTTTAAATATCCCTAAATTCCCCAAAATAAAATGGGTGAGGCTTTTCTCCACTACGCTCCCAAACTGTGGAACACCAGGAAATATCAGAGAGGCTCAGTGGACATTTTTAAATGCCAGCTAAAGACACATCTCTTTAGATTAGCAACCCCCCACTTTAAATGGTGTTTTAGTCTTTATTATTTACCTACTTTTATATTGTTTTATTTATGATATAGGAAGGGTTTTATCTTATATTAGTTATTTAACAGTTTCAATAACAACATTTATTTTAACGTTGGTTTCTTTATATTTTAATCGTTTAACCTTTATTAGAATTATGACGTTTTTATTACTCTACATTATTAGTTTTTATTTCTGTTGTACCTATATGTTCACTTTACTTTATAGGGTTTTATATTGTTGAATCTATTCACCTGTCTTGTGTCTTATCTTTCCGAGATGAATCATCATTTTTTTTACTGTATTTCATTTGTTATTGTCATACCTTTTACCTCCTTGTGTATCTTAACCTGTTACAATGTTATATTTTGCTGCACAACATTTTTTTCCGAGTAGTTTCTCCAATAATCTGTTTGGTTAATAAAATGTTGTGACTTTAAACTTCTATTGGGATGTTTTTGATAGTTCCTGTTGAGTTAGCAGTCTGTTCTGGGTTGCAGTCGAATTGTCCAAAAATCAGCTCCTATCGTCTTTTCCTATCCACTATTCCCGGGGTTAATGCCTTTACTTATGTTTACCGATCAGCAACGTGGTATAAAAAGCTACGAACAAAGAACGGGAGGCAACAAAAACAGGGTTTAACGAATAAAAGCACGGATAAATCACCCTCCAAGGATAAACTAACTCTTTGTATGTGTTTTAAAAGTCTCTTAAACACATTACATTCGGTATAAAATCTGCACCAACGTCTGTTAGCAACGTGTAGCTTCTGAGGACCGGAAGCTAGAAATGGACCGCCGCAATGCATCATGGGATTGTAGTTTTTCTTTTAAACATAATTTCACTGCCCCCTGTGGTGAAAAAACAAACAGTATTAAAATAATGAATAATTACATTATTATTAATAATAATAATACTTATAACAATAATAATAATAATATATAAACATGGGACTGGTATGACAGATTTTAAACATTGGGAAAAATGTTTTTGTTTGTAATAAAAGGCATAAAACACATCCAGTAAAAGATAGGATAAAAGACCATTGAGAAACAGCTACAAACTCACCTCCTCCTCCGACGCCCCAAAAGCCTGTCGGAAAAGGTGAGTCTTTAGCTGCCCCTTAAAAACCTCCACTGAGACAGAGGCTCTCAGTTTCTGGGGGAGTTCATTCCATAGGGGCCACTGCCTCAAAGGCACGGTCCCCCTTAGTTTTTAGCCTGGTTCGGGCACCCTTGAGAGGCCTTGCTCGGAGGACCTCAGGGCCCGGGTTGTCCTCTGAGGGTGGATAAGGTCGTTAATGTAGACGGGGGCTTGGCCATGGACAGCTCTATATGTGTAAACCAATACCTTACATTGGGTTCTGAGATGGACAGGGAGCCAGTGCAGGGCAGAAAGGATCGGAGTGATGTGGCATGTTTTTGTGGACCGAGTGAGTGACCTGGCTGCAGCATTTTGGACCTGTTGTAGCCGGTTTATTGATGTTTTGTTGAGGCAGGAGAACAGAGCATTACAGTAATCAAGCCGGGATGACATAAAGGCATGGATAGCCATCTCCAGTTCTGCATTGGATAGGAAGCCCCTGAGCTTGGCAATGTTTCTGAGGTGGAACAAACAGGTACGGGTCAGGAGTTTGATGTGTTTGTCTATTAGCATAGACTGATCGAAGGTTACACCAAGGTTTTTTATGTTTGCCCTAACGTTACCACTAAATTAACCCAGGTGGCTTGCTACCTTAGAGGCGATGTTATCAGCCGCTAAGATCAAGACTTCCGTTTTCGATGCATTGAGCTGTAGGAAGTTGCTTGACATCCACTCCTCAATTGCAGACAGACATGTGATGAGGGTGTTTATATTTTCCATTTTGACGGGTTTGAAAGAGAATTATATCTGGATATCATCTGCATAACAATGATACGAGACACCCTCAAATTGGCTAATTAAGGCCCACCGCCACGGAGAAACTTCTCCCACTGAGGCACGAGGCAAACCACTGGAGGGCAGACCCTGAGATGCCTACCCACTCCCTGAGTCTATCTAGCATGATGGCGTGGTCCACTGTGTCAAACGCTGCACTCAGGTCCAACAACACCAGAACCACGCAATCACCTGCATCCAATGCCATCATGATGTCATTGGAGACCCTGAGAAGAGCTGATTCTGTGGAGTGGTGTTTTCTGAAACCTGATTGGAATTTGTCATTCAGAAATGTATTGAGTTGATTAGCAACAACTTTTTCTTAACCTTTTGACACAAATGTGAGCTTTGAGATGGGCCTGTAATTATTCGGGAGGGAGGGATCTAGATTGGTTTTTTTGAGAAGGGGCTGAACAACCGCCTGCTTAAAAAATGATGGGACGGAGCCGGAGACAATGAAGATGTTTATAATGTGGAGCAGGGGTGGAGCAACACATGAAAAAAACGTATTTTAGCATGGACGTTGGTAAAGCATCCAGAGGGCTTGAGGAAGATTTCATAGCGCTCACTACAGCGGTCAGGTCGGCTATGGTGATGCAGGAGAAATTACTCAGCGTGGCCTGCCTAACTGGACAGATAGGGAAGGGGGAGTGGGAGGGGGTGATGCTTGACCTCACATCAGCTACCTTGTTTATAAAAAAGGTGAGAAAACGGTCGCAGTCGTCGTTTGAATAAATAGGAACTGAGGGGGTGGACGGGTTTACAATGGTATTTATGGTTTTAAATAGTACTCTGGGGTTGTGCTAACTAGAGGAGATGAGGTTAGAAAAATAGGTAGCCCGGGCATTTTTGACCAAATTGTTGTAATCACAGTAAAGGTCCTTCAGATGGAGACGGTGTACCTGGAGATTAGTGGTTTTCCACAGCCGCTCAACTTTGCGACAATGCCGTTTCAGCATACGGGTGTCCTCTGTTAACCAGGGGGATGTGTTTACAGCTAGAGAGCTGCATGTCACCATGGGAGCGACGTCATCTAAAATGGCGGAGCAGTGTGTATTGAAAGCGTTGACTAGACAATCAACATCATCAACATGCGACACCAAAACATTGTTGTCAAAAGCTGTTACAAATTTCTCAACCGCTGCGCTATTTAAAATATGCGAGGTTTTTACTCGCTTCCCCTGAACATAAGCGTTATCCAAACATTGCTGATATTTAGACCAATTGTGAACACGAGATCCAATGTGTTACCTTTGTTATGCGTTGGGCCAGACACATGTTGACAGAAGTTAAAAGATTCGGTGACATTAAGGAAATCACTGGCAAATATTGGTTGAGCAGTCATTTACATGAATGTTAAAATCCCCGCACAGAAGAACTCTTTCATAGCGGATGATGGAGGTTAGTAAGTCACCAAGATCGGATAAAAAAGAGCCATTCTTGCCTGGAGGGCGGTAGATTAAAATATAATAAAACGAGTTTGAGCGACCCACTTTTGTTATTAGCACTTCAAATGTTGGGAAGGATCCAGTGCTCACCATGTTGGTGGAGAAGCAGTCTCTGTGGAACGCGGCAAGTCCTCCTCCTCGGCCGGTGCGCCTAGGAGCACAGGAGTAGCTGTAGCCCGGAGGACAAAGTTCGTTCAAGGAGAAAAACTCCCCGGCTCTCTGCCAGGACTCCGAAACAAGCATAAAATCCAGCTCTCTTGAGGCGACGAAGTCATTTAATACAAAGGATTTGTTTGTAATGGATCTGGCGTTCAACAAACAAAAGGATACGGAGCCAGATCCGGCTCTTCCTATCTTCGAGGCCCGAGGCAGTGGGCGCAGGAGCCATGCCGAAACGAGCCGATGGTCGATTTCCAGAGCCCCCCGGCCCTCGATGTGGACACCCAGGCACTGAAGCCACACTGGTGAGTTTTGTGAATTGTCGTTTTGTGAATTGTCGTTTTGTGAATTGTCGTTTGGCAGGAGCAAAGGCTGGTAGGTGGGATGTTGATGCCAGGAGAATAGGACGGAGGCATGACGGCCTCATCCTGGGGCCAGCTGTCATGGAGATGGTGCACAGTATAGACGAGGAGCGGCCTTCTGTCAGCTTGCGGAACTTTACCGCCCCTCCGTCTCGCCTTCCCCTCCGTCTCGCCTTCCCCTCCGTCTCGTCTTCCCCTCCGTCTCGCCTTCCCCTCCGTCTCGCCTTCTCCTCCGTCTCGCCTTCTCCTCCGTCTCGCCTTCCCCTCCGTTTTGCCTTCCCCTCCGTCTTGCTCTCCAGGTTCGGGGGCAGCAACAGGTTGTAGAGCAGATTACCTCTGGTACATGGGGACGCAGGGTACGGTGACAACTCCACTGTGCCGATCGATCCGACAGTGATTGTGCCACCGAAGCACCTATATCCAGCAGAGTTTGGCGATCGTAGGAAATTGCCGATTTGACATTGCGTACGCACAACGATAAAAACAGATAAGCGACAAACAGGAGCGGTAGCGAGTGAAGACACCTGACGTCTGACCCACTGTGTCAAACGCTGCACTCAGGTCCAACAACACCAGAACCACGCAATCACCTGCATCCGATGCCATCATAATGTCATTGGAGACCCTGAGTGATACAAATAAAAATTAAATGCATTATTGTTTTCAAACATTTTTACATAAAACTTGAAAACAATATTGAATTAGAAATGTATACAAAAAATAAATAAAAATAATAATAATTAAAATAATTAAATAATAAGAAAAACTGAAAATAAAATAATAAGAAAATAAAATATATAAATAAATCACAAAAACTTGAAAAAATATCTATAAAGAAATGTAATATGAAAATAAAATGTTTACTGAAACTAAAAACGCAAATTGGTAAAAATAAGAATGAAATACATTATTTGTTTCAAACGTTTTTATTAGAGCTGTCAGTCGATTAAAATATTGCGATTAATCGCAAATTAATCGCACATTTTTTATCTGTTCTATATGTACCTTAGAGGGATATTTTTCAAGTTTTTAATACTCTTATCAACATATGAGTGGACAAATATGCTTTATATATTTGTTTATCATTTGAACAATGACAAATATTCTCATGAATATTAAACACAACAACCTCTGAATTCGATTCAACCGCCCACGTTCATCATTCGTTGCGACACTTTACGTCTCAGTTCATAGTCACGCCCAGAGTATGTCTAAAAAAAGATTATTTTATTTCGTCAATCCCTTCTTGAGTTATAAATTGGTGGGGTTTTTGGCGCCCCCTATAGTCCAAAATGACAATGCTTTGGTGTGCCTATTCCCCAACACAGACTGAACCTACCCACCAAAATCTGTGGTGAATGGATACATTGTTGATGAGTTATGAGCATTTCTTTCTAAGCCACACCTTTTTGCTAATACGTTTTGATTAATGGCGGCCATATTTATTAACTGAACATGCTCATTTCCTACTGTAATGTGTGTGACCCTCCACCGATGCGGTATACTAAGATTGGTGTTGATAAACAAACAATAGAAATGTAGGATAATATTGCACTGTTTTTAACATTATGCTAATTAATTAAAAAAAGTAGGCGGGGCTTAGGGGTTCAAGAGGACTTTATGTAGAGCAGGTCCACCCGGATAAGTGTGCAAAACTTCAGGTCCATCTGAGTTACGGTGCGGCTATGTACATTCTT